CCAAAACAATGATTGCAAGTGAATTGAATAAACTTTGAGATATTGCTAAGTGAGCAAAGCAATACAAACCATGTAATATATATAGAGATGCAAAATTGGCTAATCAGCTTGCATTTTTAGTATAATAAAAACTGATTAATCAATAGAACTAATTAGCTAATTTTATATTTTTAGTTGTATATAACTAGTATTTAGCTATATAATTATTAATAAATGTTTAAATACAGTAGTATATATAATGATAATACTATTTTGACTTATTTTAATATAATTGAATTGATGAATTTAATAATTATGATATTTTATATATATAAATACATATGCATATTATGGGTCAAATTGGTTTTTAGATCAAGTTAAACTTGACTCGAGTCAAATTGAACCCTAGCAAAATTTTAGAATTATGACAGGCTAGAATTATGTTGATACAGGCTAGGTTTTTTAATTAATCAATTTGATCTAGGCCAAGTTTAACTTGACCTAAAAACTAATTTGATCTGTAATATGTATATATGTTTGTGCATTTTGATTGGTTAGCCTGTGATCACATAATATATAATTATTAATAACTAAATTTAATTAAAATTTTTAGTTATACAAAAGAGTAGTAATCTTCACCACAGGTTATAGTTAGTAATATTCTTTTTTATATCAATATTTTTATATCTAGAATTATATAATTACTTGCTATTTTGTCAATATTCAAAAATTAAATTTTAATAGCAAATAATTAGTGATTTGAATAATTACAATAGTAGACTATTTATAATTTTAATAGTAGATAAGTTTATTATTTTAACTAAAAGTAGTTTATAATTTTAATATTAAATAGGTTAGTAATCTTAATTGTAAATAAACTTGTAATTTTAATAATATATAAATTTATAATTTTAATAATTATAAGTTTATAGTTTAAAAAATAAGTGAGTTTTAATAATTATTAGATTTATAATTTTAATAATAAAAGAGTTAATAATTTAGTAATAAGAGATTTACTATTCTAGCAATAAGTAGATTTACAATTGAAAAAAATAGGAAAGGTGGATTTGCAACTGTTTATTGTGTAGGTTGGTTTGATAAAGCCGTAGTTTGAATGCCGATTAATAGTTAAAGCAAGCTATTGACCAATCAAATAAATCGTACAACTCAATTTTACTAGAGATCAAACAATATCAATTATATTTTACCGTAGATCATACAATATCACATAAATAATTGGATTAAATTTTATGAAATGTTAACATTTATTTTTAAAAATCAAAAAAATCCTCCCGTATGAAGCAATCAATTGAAGCGCAAATTAATCGGTTAGACACAAAGACTTATATTTTATCTAATAGTCAAGTTGATAATCAACAGTTTTCTTTTTTTATGTTTTCCGTTCCTGGTTTTGCGCGATAACGTCGTGCAGCAATCTAGGTTTTAATTTCTTATTATCATTTTCTTTATTCTTACTAGTAACTTATAAAAAAAAACTGAGCTGCCATTGTGATGAACAGATCAGCGAGATACAAATTATCTTTTTTTCTTCAAAAATTTACTATTGATGAAGGTCACTTAAGTATTACTTTTAATTTTTTACATATCAAACATAATAAACAATGAATCTCAACAAATTTCTAATCGATATGAAAAAAATAGCCACTTTATTTTAATTCTCGAAGCTTTTAAACGATACCTTGATATGAACGTAAAATAAATACACCATCTTTTAGCATTTAATAAAATCATAATGAATTCTGCTATTCCATTTTTCTTTCAATAAAATTTAAATATTAGGATTCGCAAGATAAAAATTTTTTATTTGTTGTTTTAAAGCAACTTTCGTTAATGATTGATTCTGTTGCTGTTGCAATAAATGTTTTGAATCGTTAAAATCACTAAAAGGAGAAGCCGACGCAGCCGAAGTTAAAGTTTCGGCAACCGGTTGAGTAGAAATTTTTTTAAAGTGTTTTAGGCATAACGCAGATCACGAAAAGTAGAAAAAGAGTATGCTCAAGAATTTAATTCTATAAATATCGTCATTGATTGTGATGCTTGAGCGTCATCATGTTAATTATTTAATTAATTGATTGAGATACTTGAGAACACCCTTAATCTAAACTTGGTAAAGGATGAAATCTTCTTTACAAAATCTGATAATTTCGAGATATGCAATTATTTGCAAATGATAAGCAATATATAGTGCATTATTAGTACTAAATTAGCAATTTTAATAATTTATTACAAGATTATTTCATTATCAGCGCTCTTAAATATCTAATAAATTAGTTAAATAATGGTAATTTTTAGGCCTTCATTATTACTAAATTTTGATAATATATTGCTAATATTAGCATTTCATTAGCATAATAATTGACAAATATATTTATAAAATTAAATTATAATAATAAAATGCTAATAAAGTGCTTATATTTGTAAAATTTTGCATTTTAATAGTACATTATCAGCACTGTTAAATTGCTTATTTTTAGCAAGTTCAATTTTGGCAGATTTTTGTAAAGTTGTTTGCATGTCATATGCGTACGTAACTATTACACTGCATTCATGTGTGACAAGATGGGACAAATTGAATATCTCTAAAAACTTTTATATAGTGAATAAAATTTCGGATTTAATATACTTTAATAATAAAAAAATGATAATTCCGGTAATTTATTGTAGAGCGTGTAACACCAAAAGTCGGAAGGCTTATTCTACTTTTTTATTTAAAATAAAATTCAAATCATTATCACAGGTAAAATGATATCTAATAAGGTATTGCTACCAGATTTACCAATAGGCATCCCTATTAGATATCATTTTACCTGTGTGTCCTGGGTAGAGATTGTACCCGGGTAGACATTTTTATTATATAGTATAATAAATTACCCGAATAGCCGAATAATTTAATAATACCCGAGTAGAAATTTTTATTATATGAGTGTCGCTAAAAGAAACCCCGAAAATTTAAATATAAGTAATTTAAATTTTCGGGTTTTCTTTTAGCGACAATCATATGTTTTAATAAATTATTCGGATAACCGAGATATTTTCTTAACGGCTAGTGATGGGCAAATTGGCATTTTTTCAAATTTCATATACATGAAATTCTGGCCTGCTTTATAATAGTTTGCTGCTAATGCGGGCCAGAATTATAAAATTCCGAAATCTTCCATGCGCATGGGCACATCACTACAGTATTTCTGGCTATCTTCTGGCGAGATCGTCCGTGGAATCGTTTGCACAGTTTAATCACGGATAATTATTTTAAAATTTTTAAATAAACTTAAATAAGTAGCATTTTAAAAATATTATATAAAGGCTTTATTTTTTTTTGCAATAATTATTTTTTTTTTTTTGCGATAATTACAGTTCCTCTAATACTTACACTAATAACTACATAATAATTCCTCTAATACCTACACTGATAACTACATTCGCACTTATTGTGAATTCTTTTTTAGAAATAAATATGAAGCCTACCTTGATCACTATATTTTCTTTCCTTTTCATTGCTGTTGCTGTTTATGCACAAAAACCTCATGTACCCAATCCAATAGCATTTCAAGAAATGTTACCGTTACCAATCATTGTTACCCAAGATAAACATAATAAAAATGTATATCAGGCTGAAATTAAATGGTATGACCGTGGAGTTTCTCCTGATGGTACGTAAGATAGGGAAACTTACCCGTATTATATATTTTGATGATAATTATGCTCATTAAAACTTTTTTAGAACGAGTTTTTAAAAGAATGAGATGCGAAAATGGTGTAACAGTTGACGCAACCAATGTGGTAAAAATGATTGATTCGTTAATATTCGTTAATTGGTTATATTTCCTTCTTTATAATCGATTTCTGAATTGAATTTATTAAATAAATTTTTTAGAGAGGAGTTTATTCTGATCTCAAACATACATTTACGTTGACATTTCTAACAAACGTAACGACTATGAAATGTGTAAGAGGAAATATTGATGTTGTAATTTTTAAACATTCTTTCTCGTTCGAACATAATGAATAGCAATATATGATGTGAAAGCCACAATTAATACATAAACTAACATAGCAGTGTCTCTCTGAAAAGTCTAAATATTCAAAATAAATAAATAAATATATATTTTATTATTAACCTAATGAATAAAAGTACTACGTAATTATGAAATTATGAACTGTGATCGTAGCTCCAGCTTTAAATGCGACCTAAATTAATACGGATAAAAAGATACTAAGGCATAATGAAAAATTTTAAAATGATGCAATTAGCGATTCGTTGTCAAGAGAGTAATTTGAAGGAAAAATGAATATATGTTAAATCGAATTTATAGATATTTATTGAGGCGATGATAGCTATGTTAGATTATTATATTTAAGCTTGATAAGGATCTGGCCTGGAGATGCTAAGTTATGTTAAATGAAGATTTTTAATAATTATCCATCCAAATTTTATAAAAGCCTTTTTATTTTAATTTCCCAAATTTGTAAAATTCAAGTAAAAAATTTTACCCAATTTGAAGATACTTATTGAGGGGAATTTGTTAAATTTAGTAGGTTGTGATATCGCAGGTTAATATGCATTTAAAAAAAAATTAAAATTATTATTAGTTAGGGTTAGGATTCGAGCTAGTATTAGAAGGCATATATATATGCAAAATTAAGTATTGAAAACTTTTAATTAGAATCCCAAGACTAGTTTACATAATGAAATTTCGAGATATTTAAAACTTTGACTTTTTTCTTAATTTTTTTCTAATTTTTCGTTCATTTTGGTTACATAAGATCCTGTGATCTAATTGGTCGATCATATTAACCTGCGATATAGCAACCTGCGATATTTAACAATATCCTATTGAGGAATACTTCAATAAAATTTAATCATAGTTTTTTTTTTTTTTTTATTATAAATGTTTAACTTTGAATACCAGGAACGGAGTGACACGAAGTATATGGTTGTATGGCAATTTAATAATATTATTTCACAAAATCTTATTGCCCATTGTATGATTAATTGATCACAATAAAACTGTGAATGCAGATTTTGCTTTTCATGCCAGTCGCTATCAGATTTTTGCTTAACTTTTTGTAGCTAGATTTGTTTAGTTTAGTTCGATTGTATGCACATACGTACGTACATTAGCATAGCGGGCTTTCATTGTGAATGGCCAATTTTCGTATATCGTTCTGTGATATAGTAAAAATTTTATTGGTTAATCGAAATTAATCGAAGTTCTAAACTTAAAATTGTCGCGAATAAAAAACTGATATGTACAAAAATAATTATATCAATAATAAATTTAAGACCAGTAAAATCTTTAGCATAAAATCTTGATAACTTTAAGTCTATACTATAATCTTGTTACGGACAAAATTCCGACAAACCAAAATTTTATTAAAGAAATAGTCCTAAAAAAAAAAAAACCAAAACGATCTAGAATATTAATGGCTAATAAAAATAATCAAAAACAACTTTTAAGTCTTCGTCCAATATCAAACTGATCTTTAATTTTATTTAACATTAATAATAGTTATACAATTACAATACCACTACTTCGTTTTGACTCCTCCCACATCTATAAACCTTATGACTCTCAACATCATATTCCTGGCCTATATTATAGTCAGGTTTCTAAATTAATTGGGATTACGAAGAATAAGTTTTCACAAAAAGATAGCTTAAATTACCGAGTTTAATTGATGTATCTCTAAGTTAACATTCAAACATACCTTTCATCTAACATCCGAATTACTTCACAGATTAACAAATTACTTTGACAATTTATTAAGAAGACGTTAACTTTCTAATTTTTTTTGTCTTACCCCTTAGGAATTCATATTCGTGGCACAGAATTCAATCATAGAAAATCGTTACTTTATCATGATCAAAAATCAGCTAATTATAATA